CATATTGGTGATAATGATTAACGTATAAGCGTAAGAAAGTTGAATATACGTAGATTTGTAGTGGTTTTCCCGTAGGAATTTTCAATTTGTCGTCAAAAAAAAGTTAACCATCCATTATTAATATTATTATTATTACTATATCTATACTGGTATATACTGAAGAAAGTCATTATGATCGCTTTCCCTCGTTCCACGAAACTAAATAGTATGCATCGACTACTATTTTTCTATAAGGTTTATAATATTTAATCTTGAATTAACAATATATGGGGGGTTATTTAAATAAAATCTCCTAATATAATACATTTAAGTTATAAAAGAAATAAACAGTTATAAAGTTGTTCATTAAATCAGTGTATAATACCACGAATAAAGTGCGAAGACGTACTAATGGACTTTAATAATTCAATGAAAATATTTAGAAAATAAATATGTACTATTATATAAACATAATAATAAAATTACTTACCTAATATTTAATTACAAAATTAAGTTCCTTTCTCGAGAATCCTAGTATTTTCATCCCAAATAAACAGCGAGTGTTAAATGTTTTACAATTCATCGAATTTTTTTTTTCCGTAAGGCAATTACAGTTTATGTTGGTAGATCAAATAATGTAACAATTAACTGTATTTATTTAATTTAGAAGTTAAAAGCAAGTTAATACTAAACTAAAATATTTAAATTATAAGCTACAAAATTATAGGTATTTTTCCGGAAAAAGTTAAAAAACTATATAAAACTGCTATATATCCGGTAAATATGATTTATTTGTGAACAATGTTCAATGAATATTGATAATTATAATTATTATTTGTTGTAATTACATTTAATATTGATGTAAGGAAATTATTTTATATCATATTCTTCATACATAATATATAGCTGACTTTAAATAATAATTATTAAGATTTTTAATCATATTATTATTATATTATATACATTATATCTTCTTTTTCTTCACTGACGTTTTATTGGTCATTTAGGCTCATTGCTGCAACAACCACTTATACATTATTTATTCTCATATATACCATACAAATTAATACTATGATCATTATTTGCACTTGTATTTTGTACAATTTATCAACTAAAATACATTTTACAAAAAAAACGAATCATATGTCAAAAATTATTAAAAAAAAAATAATAATTATTACGGTTTATAACGAAAAATGTATCTTTTATTATATTATTATTATTATATTATCAGTGGTATACCTACATACAATATATATCAATAAATATGTGTTATAGTGATTTACTAATATTGAATTTAATAAAATATCTTATGGGGTCGAAGGGTTGAACTGTTATAATAAATGTTGTATAAAATTGACAGCGCATAATTTCATCCAAACCTGAATACCCAAGGCCAGTGGTACGAAGCCTGGAAATACAAACCCATATCCCAATAATCCAGAATTGCCAAATTTTATTAGGAACTTGCTCATAATTTCCCACCAAAATGAAAAAGTTATATTTTATGTATATGATTTCATATAACTTAATATAAATATTTTAGATTTTATATAACTCTAATTTTGTGTTTTTGTTTTTAAAAATTACCAAAAATGAATGATTTAATTTATATGAATAAAACTATTGTAAACATTAAGTAAGTCTATATTATATAAGTACTTACATAGTGTTGGTAAGAAGCGTCACCTCATCGAAATAAATGAATTTGAAGGTTGTGAATTAAAAAAGGTTGTACACCTCTATCTTAGTTCATTCAATACAAATTCATAGTTATATGTTTATTTTCAGTTGTGTATTTTGGTTTTTTTTTTTTTTTGAGGTGGGAGTATCCTGACAATATTTATTTCTCCTAAATTATTATCATCGTTTAATTATATTAAATTATGTTATAAGCATATGGCATCGGCAAAATACATAATAATAAATACAAATAATATAAGCTTAGTACTTACATATAACTAATAAAACTAGTGATTTAAATACTAAAACTAAGATTAAGGCTAATTGAATACTAAATACTAAGAAATAAATTTGTTAACAATTGGTAACTTAAGGTACTTTCTCCATTGATCTGATCTACATAGTTCATAATCGCACATCTAATTTTTCCATTATTAAGATACGAATCAAAACCCTTTTTTCGAAGGTCATGGCTTACGGAAAGGTATTTGGAAAATCCTATTTTTATATAACATGTAATTTTATAACTTAAAATAAAATCACTATTTCCTATGAATCCTATGAAACAATGCAAATACATAATTTAATTATTTTTAAATAATTATATAATGTTGTCGAACAATTATTCTTCTAAATAAACAGTATCAGGTAGATACCACAATATTTACAAACACGAGTTATGAAACATATGTTACGCTTTTACTAATGTCATTGTTTCTAAATAATTTTTAATAATTTACCGAAAAAATGAAACCATATAGTTGTTCTCACATAATACATAACATTTTATGAATTATAACTTATATTTGAAATAAATATAAGGAAGTTCGTAGGAAAAAGAACATATATGTTTGACAATTTATTATTCATGTACAATAATTTTCCACTGATTAATTTTCAGTAAAATAGTTTTTCATCACATGTTACATCTCTATTTATATACAAGTAGTAGTAATAATTAGTGAACAGTAGTTGACTAAACAATAACAATTGTGTTTGACATTTCTAAATTACGGTTATGCAAATATTATATAATATTAACAAGTATCCATTTATAATTTAATTTCTTCACATTTTATTTTTTTTTTTTTTAATGTGTTTGGAGCCAATTCGTTTTTGCGGCATTTTGAATAACAAATATAAAAATATGTACGTTAATTTCAAATATAATTGCTTAAAATGTTATAACTAAATAATTAAATAACTGGAAATGTATGTTTACGGTTTAAATAAAAAATATATCTTATCGTAACAAAAATATAGAAAAAGTACTGTATAAACGATTTATTTTTGTTATACAGATTAAATATTAAGTTATTATTTATATTATTATATTAAGTTATTTTACATCATATTTATACCAGGAGCGTCTTCAAAAGAGGGAATGCTAATAGAACATTGCCTCCGTGGCCTTTTTTTAAAAATATTTTTGTTATTTATAATCTACACCACACTAGGAAAATACATAAATGTGAATACATATATGAAGTTTGCTCCCTCTATAAAAAGATTTAGGGACGTCACTGACTTATACCTACTTTAAGTACTAGAAACGTGGCAAAATTTTTTTACAATGTGTTTTTACGTATAAATCAAAGTATTTATGAATTTTATCGACACCGTTTGAAATTATTAATTAAAATTATATGCATTATATTGCACTCCTTACATATTCGAAAATGAAAAAAGTTAATTATTAGACAGATATATTTGTGGTTTTTTTATTCAGCGAAATGGATTGAATTTTTCTGTTACATTATACAATAAACATATACTATATTCAGTCAAATCTTGAAGTATTAAGAATCCTAATAAATTGTTATACAACTACTGGATACTAAAATTCCAGTTTTTCAATATTATAACAGTACAATTTAAAATATCAGCCATATATTAATATTAATCATGACATTTTATAAATTTATAGAACTTACATAGTTCAAGGAATATATAAAACAAAAATAATTAAAATTATATTTTTGAAGTTTTTACGCTATATTTTTCAATAAAGCAACTTAAAGAATAAATTATAATATGATCAATTAATTTTTTTTTAAACGCATTACATCAATGGTATTTGTTAATAAAAAATTAACTATAATTTTCGTAAAACTATGAAAAAATATTATAATATTGTCTACAGCTATTATAATAAATTGTTAAAAGCTATAAAGGAAGTAAATAAACAGTGATTTCAACTTTTTAAAGTCCGTTATTACAAAATTGTTATTTGTGTATATTTTAATTTACGGTTATATTATAATATGCCTATTAACTACTAATAATTATTTTAATAATATATTATGTAACTGATGTGTGAATTCTTGATCATAGTCAATCCTCAATAGTTTTATATCGACTGTCTTAAACTGATTTAGTAATATCGGTTATTGTAAAAAAAACCGAATGGTTATTATTATAATTAATATAATTTATATATATTAGTAGTATAATTTCTTGCTAAAAAATATAGATTGAACTTTATCGTAAATAATAAAAAAATAACGAAGTTATAAGTAGAATTTACTATGTTGTGCTCATGGAAACTATAATATATATATATATTATTTTGAATTTAAACTTAATTATTACTATACCATTAATTAAATCGTTAAAATTATAACTTGAAAAATTATATGGATAGAACTTGTTGAAAATGGAAAACATCAGTTTTTGTTTTTTAACTAATTAATTCTTTATAAATATGTACATTAATAATATTCATCAAGAACACATAATCAGATATCCAATATCTGTATAAAATGTACATTAGGTAGAATAGGTATAATATACCTAATAATATCGAAATATTTATATACATAATATGTTTAAATATAATATAAATTCCGATGCATATAAATAAATATTTGATAGTTTTTGTATTTTTATATACATGTAAAGTCTAGTTATTATGTAAAATATGTATTGTGTATTTATAAATGTATTTTTTATATTTATACAGTGAAGAGGAAGGTTCTACGAATATAAATATTATAAATAAAAAATATTATTCATGAAGTTGAGTTAAGGTTTCTTATTTTATATAAAGACGTTAAGTGTATATTTTGACTTAGACATATATTTAAATAATAGTTACATTAATAATTAAAACGAGTAATGCGCATAAAATAATTGAAAAAAATCGTATTTGGAAATAATTACGTCTTAATTTTTCTCCTGTAGAAATGGTTTGAAAATAAAATAACGATGTACCTATGAAGACGATATATCGTAAAATGAAAAATGGTGGTGGTGGTCATGAAATGTGGGTCAACCTCGGAGGCCGGAACAAGTTCAAGGAGGGATTGCCGGAACGAGAACCGGTTGCATTCTATACAGGGGCCATTTACCTTCCGTCAGTCGCGTAAGTAACCATCCTCCGGAAAAGAAGTTAAATATTGCTGACTTGAGATTTACATCTTAAACCATATCAATTTTTAACTTCAACAGAACACATCAAATTTGATTGTAGTCGTTGACGGCTGAAAGAAAAAAATAATTTGGAGACTTGAACGCAGGTAAGAATGAATTATGACAATAGTTCTAATTTTATTCATAAATGTAGTACATTTTCCTTCTTTTTTATTATTCAAAACGTTATAATTTATAGTACATTAATTTAATTTAAAAAGTGTAAGTTATAGTTCCCTGCGAATGATATATGAATTTAATTTATGTTGCATACCCTTGTAAGTCCGTAGATACTAATTTAATTTAACAAATTATAATAATTTATATAAGTTATAAATAAAATATGAACAAATTTTGAGAAATATTTTTTACGATTTTTAATATTACGTCTACTAACACAATTATATGTACGCTCCAAGTATAAGATATTGTATTATAATATGAAGATATAATATTTTATTGTAATACATATACAAATTCATATCAAATCAAACTTAAAAAAACTCTTTCAATTACAAAATGTGTGTATTATCGATTGTTGACTAAATATATTAGCTTAAGTATAATAGTATATTTCATTTCATACCGTATGTTGGATTTCTGATACAAATATACGTTTTCGAATACTCATCGTTATGATGATACAATAATATTATAACGACGATAATTTAAGATAACTGTAATATATATTTATTTAACGGTATAAGCGAATGTTTATCCATTTTGTAAGGTATGTATAATCATAGATTAAAATATATTAGTACATTTTGAAGCTGTGGTATATAATAATAGGTAACGTTTGAGTATAGTGCATGGAATATTTAACCGGGTAATAGTAGATACATAATATGAATCACGCGACGACACCGCATATATTGGGATTCTATGATGAGGTCGGCGAGATGATTTCACCGCACTTTCTCCCGACAACTATGTGTCATAGACATACATAGCGGTTCCAATTATGAAGTGAAATTTGTACAACAAAAAAAAAAAAAAATAAAGACACATACGATATCGGTATCAAGAGAACAGTGATCAAATGTCGACCGTTAAATTGACACGACGAATAAAATATTAATATTATGATTATTATAATATTATAAAATGATACATGTAACATTAACATAATATAATATTCATTATATTCAATTCATTATGAATTTCAACAAAAATACTTACGCAGTATATTTCTATCAGAAATTGAATACGTACCTAAAAGTTATTGAAAAATTGTACAACTGAATTTAGGTCAATAAAACATAATAATATGAGGAAGTAAAACGGCGATAAGATCGTATTTAAAAGAAGAAAAAGTATAGTATTTACTACTTAAATGAAAGTAACTGACCGGACTATGTGGGTTACTTGGTTATTGTTGCGTGTGCGTGACATCGGCAATGGTGGTCAAGGTTAGGCGTGGGCCACTTTTGGTCGGCAGTTGCATTCCCAGATCTTCGACATAATTATTTTAATAACGACCGTTTTTATTATTTTATAGGTTAGTAACGTTAAGTATTTACGTCGTGTACATCTGCATTTACATATATATGTATATATACATGAGTATTTAATGATATTTTTTTACATGCATTATATTAAACTCTGAGTAAATACATTGGAGTGCATTTTCCCACTGAGCATAAAATTAGAATTTTGTAAAAGCAACTTGTATGAACATGATTAATAATTTTAGTTTTTGAAATGTATTTATTTCAAAATTTAAGTTATTTACTATTTAAAAATGTAATGTAGTATATTTTAAAAACAACTCAAAAGTTCATATTTCCATTAATAACGTTACCTTTTTTTTTAAAAAATTTGTGAAAAATAGATTAGCTATTTTGCATTCATTGAAATACTTAGTATTAGTTATACTAAGTGAGGTAATAATGTATTTAAGTGAATGTTGATAAGTAATTTTTTCCTTAATTTTTAGATATTAAAGTATCAAATAAAATGTTGAAATCTTTGCATATTTGGCTGGTTTTATTTAATGACATTATTGGTCATGGATGTAATTAATAATTAAATATAATTACATTTTTTGGTATAGAATTTTAAAAATATAATCATTAAGTTCTAAAAATAATTCTGAGATGAAATGTTTTTTAAAATATTTTCTGAATAAGTGAAATTGAAATATATATATACTTATAGTAAAATATGAATATTCAATTTGATTTCTATGGTTTCCATTTATCATAATTTTTAGAACAAAGTTAAAGTAAATAATGGCTTTATGACAAGTTAACTTTTTTTTTTTTTTGTTCTTGTGGTTATTTTTTAAAATATAAGGCTTTTGTAATTTAAATAAAAATCACCTTAGACGAACACTAAAAAGTATTAGAAAATAAAATATTGTATAACTAATTGAATACTTTCTTATTTACGTATAAGAACTTTAAATTAAATAAAATACTGAGAAATTATAAATATTACATTGCATTTATGGGTAAGAATTTAGAATGGTCAATATTTCTGTTAGTACCAAAATTCTTTTTTCTTTTTAATTAGATTATAATTAAAATTCAACCCGTTGAATAAGGTTAATTAAAAAATATATGTGCATAATAAGTACAATAAAAAAACTATGTAAATTATAATAATTGTTGTTAATACGTGTACATCAAATCTATTGTATTGAGAGTAGGTATACAGCCTAATTTTATATGCCAGTATTAGTACAATAGCTAATCATTTCGTTCCATTATTATAAAAATTAATCCATAGAAAACAAAATTTATATTCAAGCCATCTGAATGACATACATTATATTGCTATAAGCTCATCTATGGTATGCATAAAAAGTAGATACATGTCTATTTTTCCTTTTAAAACAATTGATTTGACACGTTTTTACTTTTTAGATATGATCACCTATATATTATGTTTACTTTCTAAGTGTCTAGACGGTGTAAAACAATACAATTAAATGTAACTATTATAAAATATTATCAGATAAAAAATATGTATATACATCAATGTTTCACGGTCTAATGCTAAAATTGCGTCGAAAGTATTTTTTCTTTTATCGAACATCGGAAAATAATCATGTAAACATTTTTTATAGGTACCTATATACTCATACATTAATACAATTTACTAAATATGTATATTTATGGCGTTATAGAAATTGGTTAAAAGACATTCCTGACTTATACACCCATCAACCCAAATTACATATTATTTTGTTTAAATATATATTAAGGTCACAAACATATATCATGTATGGTTTGATAAATACATAATATTCAAATTCATAAAATTCAACTAAATAGTGGCCACAATAAAATAATATATACTGTTAGTATAAAAATGTTTAGATACTATTAAAATTGAGTGTAATCAATTATTTTAAAAATGTTGTAATATATTATCGAAATTTTTTAGTTAAAATCATTTTGACAGTACATTTTTGTGGATAGTTAAATATATATTCAATTTAGTTTACTTAATCTTTTTACTACCTTTTTTTTATTGTCCTTTTCCTTTTTTTCCATCTTATTATTGTTTACTGTCCTTTAAAATAAAATCACAACAAACATGACATAGTTATCAGTAATTTCAATATTACATATTCTATCCATAGACCTCATAAAAATTATCATTATCTATATTTAATTCACTAGCTATATTGTATATCAAATAACTGATATCTTTAATTTCTTTGTGAATATTAGTATCATAAAATCAATTACATAACTTTCATATGCTAAATTGTATTAAATGTTAAAAACTAGTAAGAACATTAATTTGATGAAACATTTAAAAATTAGTTTACTCCATTCCCGGATATAAATCCAATATAAAGAAATAGGATTTGTTAAAAACTATTATACCGTTACATGGGTGCCACGAGAGGGGTGCAAGGGGGATCCTTGCACCTTCTGGATTTAAAAAAAAAAAAATAATAACATTTAAAAATATAGGATTGAGGCTATTATTATCATTATCGAATATTCTATTATTCTATTATTCTGCATTACTTTGTAGCCATCTAAAAAACGAGTATTTAACTTAAAAAATGTAAGCATTATTTAGAAATACACGTATATACTACGCATGATGCACTCTTCTGACGAAGTTATTGGTGGTTTCTATGTACCAATATAGATTATCAAAATATAAAAAAAAATATCTACGTATTGGATATAAATACATTTCTTGTGATTTACAATTTAGAATAAAATAACATTTTTGAATAGAGTGAGTGAGAGATTATTTCATTTTGAAATTTACTCTCTAAAATATCAAATAGGGACAAATGGACGCCAAAAATATATATATATATATTTTTTTTTTACGTCCATTTGTCCCCACGTCCAAACGGCTACGTCCATTTGTCTTAGATCGCTAAAATTTAATGTTCTTTTATAGTGAATTTATGAAATTAATAATTCACTAATTCACTTTAAATGTTGATAACTTAATATTGTATTATATAAACTAAAATAATATCTTATTAATTTAGGGATAAAACATCTACTTTTAAAGTAATTCTTATTTATTATGTACATTATTTTTCGGATAGCTTTAAAAATAGTCTAATCATTCTAAAAACTACGACGGTTCATTGCCAATAATATATATTGATGAATAGGGTCATTGACATTGACGTATATAATGCAAGGTTTTTGAACTCCGCAATAAATAATAAGACAAAACACAAGTAGAAAGTTATACAGATAAAATACATTGAATAATTGTAAGACCGGTTTGCAGATATCATGTCATTATAACAAAAATATACAATAGCGTGAAAATAAAGTTAACACTTTTATTACCTGTTGTGATTGGTAATAATACCCATTTATAATATAATATAATATAGATTAATATTTAAGTACATTGATGAATATTAAGACATTATTTCATTAGTTACTTTCGATGGTATTGATATATTTTGAAATTATAAATTATATCTTATTCTTTTTAAATTTTAATTATTACGTAATAATAAAAATCTGCAATTTTGAATATAAAATGTGTGTATTATTAAGTTCCATTTGCTTATAAATCTTCTATGTTTTTGTTCTTTACTTTGTTTTTATTTTTGCATAAATCTAAATTTAAAATAAAATGAAGTAAATTATTTAATGTATAGGTTAATATATAACAATATTTAAATAAATATCTATTTCCAGATTGAACTATGTCCAATAAACAGGCCATAGGATGGGCCTTCCTGTGCCTGGTGGGAACCACATTGATGGCACCAGCGTTTACGTATCCACAAGATCATCGTTCTCAAATACAAAGTCAACACGAACAACAACGCCCTGTATATACAGGCAATTATCCAATATATCAACCCGAACAGGACGCAAGAAAATTTGTTGAAAAACCAAATGCTAGCAAAAAAGTAGTGTCGTCGACAGGAATTGTAGAAGATCGTAATGATTTAGATGATGTACAAACTAATTCTATATCGGTAATATTCTACTATTTCAGTTTTTAATTATAAATATATTAAATAATTGTTTAATAAAATGTTTATTTCTTTCAAATTTTAGCAAGAAGGCGCTGGTGGTTTTTCTTGGAGTAGCGTATTAGGAATGATTATGCAAATGCTGTTCAATCCAGCAAGTGCAGCCGCTGGACCAAGTAAATCTGATGTTCTAGATGGTGACCAGGTACTACTTTGTTGAAATTTATTTATTCAAATATGAATAAATAATAATTATATGTATTATTTTAAAATTCAAATCATTATTTTCAGGCTATTGCTCCAACATCCCCGTGGGCTAATTTGTTATCTGTAGGTCTGAAAATCTTAACTGCATTTTTAGGTGGCGGCAACGTAGCAGGAGATGGAATTGACAAAGTTGATAATTCTTCCCCCATGCAGGTAATAAACAATTTTAATGAACACAAATCACAATGTACATATGACATAAAAGATGGTTCAATATTTTAAAATAAGCGTTTCAATGGAATTTATCTTTATTATTTACTATATATAAATAATAAAAATTATTTTGAATCATCTTTCGCAAAAAATGTATACATTAAAAGTGGACCGGGGAATTCAGTATTCAGTAAAATTATATACATATATATATAATAGTATATACCTTCTATAATCTATCACTATTAATGTAAAAAAAAAAACTATTTTGTATAAATACTATGCTTCTGAGAAAATGCGTAAATAATGTTATTGCATTTATATAGTCTTAAGTAAATGTATTAAAAAAAACAGACATTTATGAAGCATACTATATGTTATATTCCCTGTTACTTTTCAACATTTATAATTTCTGCTTGATAATGTGCTGTTTAATTCATATACATATTTGTAAAAATTTCAATATTTAAAATTTAACATTATCAAATTTTTACGTGCATATATTTTTCAATGGCAAAAATATTTTCTGACTTAAATATATTATAATATTGACTCTCATTATTATAGCTTTTAGTAAGAACAGCTAATACTTATTTGCTTATCTATTCTATATAATTTTTCTTGAGATGTTCTCTCAAAATGTTTATGTATAGTTATTAATATGTACATACACTTAAATATTTTTAAGTTGGAACACACATAGAAAAACGTGTCAGAAATAAAATCATTGAAGAAAAAATATACCTAATAAATAAACATTACGTTTGTATAGTTAATTAGCTTTATGTCCCCGGTCCTTAGGATCAAAACATGCTTTTCTTCTTTTTATAAATATTTAATAAATTGGTATATGGTGGCACGGTACGTAGGGTGTATTGGCGGCGGTCTTATCTACAGTACTCGGCAGCAGGGATCCCGATCAAGTGGCCACCATGGCTAAACAAGCTGGAGAGGTAAGATACCCACACACTGCTTTAGCTACCACCCAGACTAACATTTTATAAAAAATAATTATTTGCAAGTTTTTCGCACAATTCACAAGTGTTAAATAACTATATTATATTTACAGTTCATAAATATTGTTGTGAATCTTTTGGATGCACTCAAGACATCTTTCAGTCACAGATCTATGTCAGCGAGATCTTTGGGTAAAAAGGACACTATGTCTGATGCTGCTGTAGCTAGCTTATCTATTTTCAAAGTAAGATTTTGATCTATATCTGATATTATATGAGTATATTATAAAATAGATGTATACAGCATATTAAAATATGATTAATATTTTAATAGTTTGAAATAATTTAATATTGTTTAATAAAATTAGGGTTACATGAAAACAATGAATACGGCAAATGATGTTTGTGCTCAGAAGTTTGTATGTGAAGCTAACAAAGAATGTTCAGGTGAAACATCAAGTTCTAGTGCCATATACTGCCAGCTTGGAACGTAAGAAAATAATTTTAAATATTATAATTTTAATAAAAATATTTATAGTTTATTAATTAATATGTATTATTAATTATAAAATATACAAAAATCCTATAATCTTATAACCACAATAAAAAAATAATTCTAAACTATTTTAAATTTTAGATACGCTACTAGTTTCTTATTACAAAGGACTGGAAACGCACCTTTCGAAGTATATTACGATGCTGGCAGACGTGGACGATCTGGAGATGACTGTCGTCAACTCTACTTGGCCTGTAACGAAGTCTAAATTTCCCCCTTCATAAAATAAAATAATAATATTTTCACTCAAAATTATCTTATCAGTTTCATATTCCATCTTCTAAATTTCTACCTTCAATTCCATTCAGATTAAAACAAAGATCTCGTCTCTAAATTTAACCATTAAACTACACAATGAATCCGCATATGTTTTTTTAGGATAATCTTTTATTATATTTATATATGATTTTTTTTTTCCTGAGTATTTTACTTAATATTTATTCCTATTGTTTGTATAACAATACACTTTGTACCATAGTAGTCTGACCTATTGATTATGTATATTTTTTTTTAATTATTTATACTTTATTTATTTTAATTTATTGTTTTTTTAATAAATTATTATAGGGATTACTTTTAAAATGAGTTGTTCGGTTATTTATTTATCCTTTTTATTCTTAATTTAATTAAAAAATGAACTAAACAAAAAACACAATTGATACTTTGATGTATGTTTTTAAATTATAGAAAATTAGCAAATAAATAGTAAATGCATAGTATTACCAAACAAATCGAATCGTGTCTAACGAGTTGAGTAATTTTTTTACTACTAAATTATTATAAATGTGCATACTATATTTTAGTATATTCTACGTCATGTTAAATGTAGAAAGTAGAAAAATTAATTAAATTACTTAAAGTTACATAATTATAACATATTAGTTATAACATTATAACATATTATAACATATAACAATAAATTATAACTTAAGTAAAATATATATAAAATGTAAATTTACTGTTCAAATCAGGTTGGTTTAATCATGAATATATAAAAAATTAACCCGTATCGAATATAAAATCTAGTTAAAAAAGTTTTACTTGATATATGTGTGGTTTAAAAATTGTTCAAACTATTAAAAATATTTAGAAATATATAGAGTAATATTTAAATATTTTACATAAACATATAGAATAAAAATTAATTTCAAATACTAATAGATTCTAATATTATTCTAAAAATGTAGACTTAATACTAATCAATTGGAAAAAAATCTTTAAAAATTAAGCATGACTAATTATAGTAAATAAAACTTGCCATTTAATTTTCAAAAGCTGATTCCACATTATTCAATGTATTGCATGATAGAATATTGGTAGAGATAAAATCGTTAGTTTTTGTAATTTGTTCATCTAATTTAGAATCAATTTTTAAGAGATGTTTTATCAATGAAACCATTTCTGAGTATTTATGTGTATTTATTTTATCTGTAGATCGTAAAATTTTCGAAGCCATGTAATTTTCTATGAATGTTTTTTTCATTATTTATAAGTTTTTCTTCCTGGACATATTAAAAATATTGATTAAAATAAACTATAATAATAATATGATACAATCTTTAATAATGTATTTATTTTTTCGGTTCGTCTCATTAAATTATAAAAACAACGGCTTGAGTAATAATTCAGTAATAATTGAGTAATAATTTGTCCGTAATTATTGTATTCTAACTAATTACAATATTGATAAAAACTATTAAAATTTAAATAAGATTATTACACAATAATATTTTATATTTAAAATCGTAAAAGAGGAAATTTACTCATAAGATTGTAGGGTCACTGGTATATATAATTATAAAATTTTCCTCCAAGGCTTAGGATAAAAAATTATAATATATATATGTATATCTATACTATAGATAAACATATAAGATATTGTTGTGTATAAATATATAACCCTATATATTCTAAATAGTGATTATTTTTTCAATAGATTCTTTATTTAATTATTATGCAAGTTTCTGAAAAAAATGTACGCATAATTTTAAGTTAATATTCATATATGCATAAAAGTTTTACCATTAAACGATAATTCTATGATTTTTTAAACGCTAATACATATTTTTCTAGTTATATACTAGAAAACAAAATGTTCTTAAAATAATTACTCATTTATTACATGAACTTTCGTCGTTAAAATGTAAATACTTTCATTGGTATTTTTTCATTTAATTCTTATATTCAGAGTGTTTTTTAATACTCGATGATACATTTTTTTTCAAATCAAAGCTGAAATATTTGCGCATATTATATAATAATACTTCCTGAAAGAACTTTAATTTTTACGTTTACATTTCAAATTCTGAGTGAAACGAGAAATGTATTGATTTTACCATGATTTTTTTTTTTTTTATAGGTACACGATTTGGATCTAAAAGAGTGCTCAGATTATGAACCAAATAAAAATTTTAGGTTCCTTTTTTTTGTTACAAAAGTTAAGAAAAGGTTCAACCAATCTTATTAAGGCATTTGATACTACTACTATAAGAATCATCGTTAGAATTATAAACTGATTTACTAGAACTCTTTTACTCAGAACCGTTTTTTGAAGAGCATTGATAGGTATATTGATTTCAAAATTAAAATACCAATTCAGAAATTCCATTAACCCATTAATTTATATCACCAGTCCATGGTATTTCGCCCGACCAAGAAATTTCGCCCTTTTACTTATATTGATATATTAGAAAAATGTATTAATTAATTATTTATATATCTTATAATACAACGCTATTATTTCAAGAGAGTTAACTATCTATAAAATTATATTCATTTTAGTCTTATTATTTTTATAAAATATAACTGAGCAATATACTTACACGCATTTTATTTAAATCCAATAAATTCAAAAGTCGGGTTTCTAAAAGATTTTGAGCGTCAGTTGTATTTGTAACCTACAATATAGAACATTGAAATTCAAATGCATTTTGACTTAAAACTCAAGAAATATAACATCTAATGAAATAAAATATAATTCATTATATCATATATCCATTTTTATAATTATAATATACTCCTATGGTGTCGAAATAGGTTTGTCTGAATTTTGGATTCAAGCTGTGGCGTACGATATCTGTGACTGAAACGGCAATTATTCGACTAAGATCAATATCCTTTTTCTTCTTTGTAGACATCTGCTCGGTTGACTTATACATTTTTACGATATTTAAAGCGAATTGGTATGACAAAGAAACTTAATTAAACTTTTAAATATAACTTGTTATACATGTGTATTTTATAAAACGAAAGTAATAAAATGCAAGTGAATTATTTCGGGATTCAATTAATTTAATTTATCCTGGAATATAAAATAAAAAAATAAAATGTTTTGCGTGGTCATTGTTTTATATACAACCGCAATAATATTATACTTATGGTTACCAATAATATGGTACCATTGTCGAGACCACCATAGACCTTTTAACTACTAGTTTAATTAGTATTAGTACAGATTATATGAATGTAATATTATATTTGTGGTATTAGTATTAGTCGAAACAATTTAAAAAAAGTTTTCTAATCTTCCATGATTTTTAAACGAAACATCGGTTACCATTTGCTTATACAGCAAACTAGGTACCTATAATTTGGTACCTACTAGGTACTTGGTATAGGTCTGAAGTGGCCAACAGGAGATCACAACATGAGTACGAATCGATGGCGACTCTCTTTCATTTTTTTTTTTTTTCTTAACTTTTTCCGAAAATAAATAAAATATTTATTTATTTTTGTAAACATTTATAATTTCGTTCAGCAAACGAAAATAAAAATTAGATCATTAACAATTAAGTAATAAAATCAATACGTATAGTACAATATATAATAACAAAAAAACTATGTAAAACGAAATTATACACTGAAATCGAGTAACTATGTAAGTTAGTCACTGTACGTAATCTAATGGATATTCTGTGTACGATTTTCATCATGTTCGTATATATTGATAAGAAATATATTAAAATACGTGTTATGTAAAATTAATTGCTATTATTTTTTAATAATATTTTAAATATAACAAAAAAAGGAAGTTTTACTCTTTCAATGCATATAAAAAACATATATGTTTGCTCAGTCTATAAAAATGTTATAAAAGTTACCTGCAATAGGACATACCTAAGTCGAAACCACATACTACCCAGTTATATTATGTGAAGCATAAACACGATAGTAAACCAAAAATTACTAAATTATTATTTTAATGTTTGAAGACAGTCAAAATAGAAAACATAAAAGCCTAAACATGAGTATAGGTATCTAATTATCGTCCTTTAAACAAGGATAATGATAATGAGGCAATTCCTCAAACCAGCAATATTTTTCATCATCAAAACAGTAAGTTATGTATTATAGTTTAAATATAAATACAAGTGAGTATATGTTTAAATGTGTAACTTAAGTTAACTTACCTAGAACTGTTAGAACAATTACAGTTGTCGGTCAAGAACAGCTTATTAAAATGTAGATTACTGTAATTAAATGTATACCTACATAATTACTGCAGGTGTACTAATTTATTATTTACAATGATATTTTAACATGTTACCAAAATTATTTTATTTTTTTTTCTCCAAAATTACTATTGTTACTGATACGTTATGTTTGGGTTTACGTATTTTTTCATATGGACGTATTCGTATATAATTTAATCGGAATACGCTTCATGAATAGCTTGGATGTGTAGCATGAAGATATCAATTTTTCATACTGTTATTAAACTGTTATATGGCCGTAACAAAACATTAAACAATGTGTCTGCGAAGTAAATGTATTTTTTCGAAATAATTGCAACAAAATAACGACTGGTGAGTATTTTTACAGTTATGGTAGTGTTGAGTCGTTATCATGACATCTCAAGTATGCAGCTGAACCACGTCGAAACGTGTACAATTTTATCTTATCAGATACGAGTTCGCGAATGATTCGTTTTCCACGGATTGCCAGATCGACGCGATTTATTAGACGTTTGTTTAGAAATTCTAAATTGGATTAAGCCATCAGTGTTGGAGAACTGACGCTGACACTATAGAATTATGTGCAGCAGGGCAGATCCAGAAAGGGACAGGGATCAGGCCAAACACCCCCACCAAATCAAGAAAAAAATCATTAAAATTCGGGAATTTAGTTATAGACGTACCATCCACGATATAAAATATATTAACAATAATTGAAATATATTTTAAACCATAGTAACATTTTATCATACATTTATGGCTTTTGAGTTATAAATATTATTCCACCCCAAGTAAATTTATTTTATTTTTTATATTTTGCAGCAATAACATAACATTTAAGCATGAAAGTCATTTTTTGCGCCCTTAATAGATAACTAACATTATAGATAAATAAAATTATTTTAAAATTGAAATATAAATCAAATAATTAAATTGGGATAAAATATAAAAAATACTCAATAAATATTACATAAAAATGATTATATTAATTATTTATAAATATTTTAATCGTCAAGTCAATAAAGCGTTAAAGTTGAAAAAAAGAGACCAGTTGATTTAGGTATATGAAAATATTCAGAAACAAAGATAAATGAATAATTTTTAATAATGTGCTGCACTGTAATATTTAGTAATAATATTGTGGTAGGTATGTGTACAAAATTTTTGTAAATATATGAAGAATAATGATGAAATTCACAATATTTATTATTTTATGTAATTCTTAAACTATATTATATTAATAAACAATAATAATATTAATAAAATCAACATGGCCAGCAAAAAATTAAACAGAAATTAATATTACAGACACAATTACACGTTAAGTCAGTACAATACTACATTAAATAAAAAATAAATAATTACGGTAGAATATAAAACTTAAGCTACAAACACTAACAGCTTATGAAACCAGTTTACATTATTATTATCATTATAATAATTGGGAACATATTATATTTAAGAACACACGCGGACGTTTTGTAGAGTACATGTCGTCATGTATTTCAGTCATGGGCGATGACCCTACAAATTGCATACGCACAGTGAGAGAAGACGCGACTGAATTTCTAATAGTTGGTGCCAGAGATATTCTTCAGGTCGGTCAGGATAATTTTTTTTGCCCAGCGTCGAGCTTTGAATTCATCCGGTCCTAAATAGTGTTCGATGATCTTTTTCTGCAACAGAAGGAAACAACAGGAATTAAAACAAAGATTTTAACTAACTATTATAGCTTTAAATACGAAAATATTATAATTAAATTTGCGCTGAAATGTCACAATCATCATCATTATCGTCTCAGTCGTTTAACGTACCAGCGGCGAGTGCCTTTAATGTTCTCAGCGGCAATCATTATCCTTCATCATACATAGGGCGCGCGTATAATAATGTTACAAGGTGAGTAATATATATGTATATTCATATACAAATAAAACATGTTAAATTGGGAATCAGATGCGGGCAGCTTATGTATTTATGTGTGAAGACGTAAATCAAGATATGTGGGAATGGAGTACTAGGGTAGGGTAATCTGGCCGACCATAATTATGATGCGAGTAAACTAAGGCGAAAAAGAAACATATCGTGGTAAATTTTTTGACTTTTTAACAACAGTAGGTTTAAATTCATGTAATACATAATAATGCAACAAAATAATATTAAATTTAACAGTTTAAAAAATGTTTATACAGGAAACAAAATCAGGGTTCACGACGTTCGACAACAACGTCGTCTGCATTAGCGTTGCTGGCATTTTTGTTCTTTTTAAACGTATTACAGGTAAATATGTCTTTCGTCGTTTATTTTCTACCAAACATTTTAAGAGGTGTATCCCAATCATTCATCACCAAAGTTCACGTAGGTCTTTAGTGGACGCTTTTACAGCTAAATACTTTTTATAAAATTAAGAATAAAAGAAAACAGCATTTTTAAAAATAATTTATTTTAATTATTATTTTAAATACAAATGTCAATGTATCATAAACAATTTAATAGATTTAAATTGCTATTAGTAGATATAAATTTCCACAAGTAACAAAGTGTCTTCAAAAATATTGCTTTCTTAAATTTTTATTATGAATAGTTACAATGGCGTATTTTCAGTGGTGGATGGAGTTCTCAAGTCTCGACTTTCCCCAAAAGAAAAAAAAGGTTCAAAATTCATAAATAACTTGCTACGAAGGTACAGAGAAAGAAAACATTAATTTATATTTAGTTGTAAATAATTCTTTATTTGTATTTATAATAATATTAGAATAATATAATTATTAATTGATACCTTATATTTTCATATAAAATCACTTAATTTTTAAAACAAAATGTAAAGCTCCCCCCCCAAAAAAAAAAAAAAATTTAAAATACGCCATTGATTTTTGATACAAAATTAGATAAATGAATAATTGTATAATAGGCTTACTATTAGATTCTGAGTGGAGCTAGGAATGTATTAATTATGTGTAATTTTTCTTGGATATCACTAAATTAATTATTCTGGATGTTATAAATGATTAAATCAAAGTCCAAATTAAATCAAAGGTTATACTTCACTCCAATTTTATTTTCAATTGAATTTAACTTATAGCTTATACTAATATATTGATGTAATCTATATTTAAACATTGAGGCTTTCCTTTCCACAAAAACAATTTATATTTCAAATGTATAAGAAAAATTAATCTGTATTATATCAGTTACCCATTTATGTATCTTGCCTGTAAGTTATAAGCACAAGGTACTGATACTTCAAAAGAATTTTAGGAGCATTTTAATAATTTTAATTTTTATGTTTAGAGATCATTGGATGATAACAAACAAGGGCCAATTGTGATGACTCGCACAACAATAAAGCATGCAATACCACGCAATGATTTAACCAAAAATAAACAAATTAAAACTACAACTCGAAATAATATTTATGTAACAAAGTATGAAAACATTTTTAATAAATAACTAAAATTAAATTAAAATCATTGTAACAGAATAACATTATGCATACTTACTCATTTTGTTTTAAGGTGATTAAATTTAATCTATTGTTCAGCTTCTTCTTTTTTTATTTTATTGTATAATTAAAATTAAAATGAATATAATATTAAACATGTAACATAATTTTTTTTATACATAATAAACTAGTTCACCTTATAAAATTATTTTAACAAAGGCACACAGGAAAGAGAAAAATCATTTCTATAAGATAATTTCATCAAGAAAAAAAAATATACATCAAATTTAAAAAATAATTCTTCCTAAATTGCATGTCTATTAAAACGTACTTAAATGGTCAAATATATTTAGTTTGAGTCAGCTTGCTTTCACCTTGATCCCGACCTAACATACGATCCCAATCAGTTTGCCCAACTACAAAACCTATCGCACGCATTTTTTCTTGCTCACGTCGTTCTTCCATATCAGCCCAACGAACCTACATAAAATAAAAGTGAATTTAACTAAAGTAACAATATTTTTTCAACTATAAATGTATATATATATATATTATATTGAAATAAAACATTAATAGTAATTAATTTGACATTTATTTTTTATGCAGTGATTTTTTTTTACTATATTAAAGATTTAACACTAAATTAACACTTTTTTTATTTATATTATTATAGTGATACTTAAAAATGTGTATGTTAAATTTAGACTATTTTAGTATAAGTTATAAAAGAAATATTGAAATTAATAATTGCATGATTTCTAATTTAATATATTATAATTTTATTCTAAGAACAGAATTATGATCTTATATTAAAGGCTTAATTTATTAACTAATGCATTAAAAATAAACAAAATAATAAAAAATACTGTATACAAAATTATTTTTTAATGATTCTCATTCCTATTATCTGCCTTAATTATGTATTTTTTAAATATTGCAAATTATGGAAAATGTATAAATTCTTTAAAAATATATGTTTTAATACATATATTTTTTGTACATCTAAAAGAATATCATAAAACAAAATCATTTTTTGTTTTTAAAATGGGAACACCAATTTATAGAAATAATTATTATTTAGTTTATTTTTCTAGAATTTTTGATGTAGCAGTCAAAATTTGGACTAATTTTTTTGGAATTAATCATATTTAATTTAAAATTGTACATGAAAAGTATAAAATTATTAGAATATTGATAACTATAAGAATACACAATACAGATATGTGTGTCATATCATTGCTATGGCTTTATGGAACAAATAAAAATGTTATAATACTGACCCTTTTTTTTCCATCTTTGACAACATCTTGTTGTTCACTCATAGAGTAATCATCTTCAGGTATTTGTAACCATTCTTTTATTGAGTTTTCTGTTTTTTTCTTACACAGACCATCCAATCTTTCTGTAATACATTTAATATTTTAAGTATTTTAATCAAATTTTCAATGAATGTAAAAGAAAAATTTTAAATAATTTATGTATCTTTAATATTTATTAGTAAATAGTAATAAGTTAGAAGTAAATACTTATAATAAAAAAATATATATATAAAATAAACATACTCATCTTTTCTTCTTGTGGAATAGTATCAGTCCATTTGCAAGATAACAATTTCATAACGTCCTGTAGAAATATTAGTAACCAAAAAATAGAATAATAGAAATTATATTTTCTGGTTTTTACTTTTAATACGATGCTATATTTTCAACAAAAATTATTAAACATTATGTTATATAATTAAAAAAATAAAACACTAATACTTCAACAATTAGGATATTTTATTCAAAATAAGATACTTGGGTTTCAAGTATCTATTCAACTCATCACATTCCAAGTAATATTTTTATTTCTTTCCTTATTAAAAAGCAAGGGCACTTGACACTTAATAATATCAAAAATACTATATTATAAATCAACTTACTATATTTAAATAATGTTTAAATTAATAAAATAATGATTACCTCTTCTTCAAAGTCAACATTTTTATTTTCTGCAGAATCACTGTTATCAACAGTTTCTTCATCTTTATCCAATTCCATTTCAATATCAGATACATCCTCCATTTCCACCTAAATCAATTCAATTTTTTGATTTATTTATTAATGATGATAAATAAAAATGTAATACTTCGCTTCTTGTAGATGAATGGAGTAAAGACTGAATATCCAATAATATTTGATCATCCGGTGTTTTAACCCAAGATTTCATAATGCTATTAATATCATATGCTGTTCTATTATGAATATTACGTTTGATACACAAATCCACATCACATTCTAATTCAATTATATAGATCTAAATAGTACAATATTGAAATAGTAATTAAATTATTTACATAATGGCCATAGAAGAAATAAAAATATCTTGATTACACAGTGTATAAAAATTAATCATAAATAAGACATTTCTAAATAATGCACAAATAATATTCAAATACTAAAATACAATAGAACGTATTTGATGTCCTAAGTCTTGATTATCTGTGTTCATTTTTTTGAAAATTTGTATGTACTGAAAGTTAAGACATAGGTAAGAAGTATAGGTTGTAAGACCTATTAGTGTTATATTGTACGAAGGTTAAAAATGATAAATAATATTAATTTAATAAACAATGTGTGAACTATATTATAAATAGATTTATGGAATTAGTTGATTTTCTCCTGAACTTCTGCAAGCAGGAAAATTTTGACTTCCATAATGTCATGAATTTAAGAAAAATTAGAAGAGAAGAAATAAAAATCATTTTAAACTAAAAAAAAAAAAAACGGATTACTTCAAATGCCAAGCTTTGATAATTTTAAAACATAACTATATGTATTTATGTAATATAGTTAAATAAAATGTAATAATAAATAAAATTTGTTAGTTAAAAATTTTTTATGTTAACTAAATATTTATTTTAATCAAGATATTTAAACTATAATTGTTAAGAAAAACTAATTAACTCACTGTAAATCCATTGGCTCTAGAAATATCTAGAATTTCTTTATAATATGCCACTTTATTATTAATGGCATCAATTATATAAAATGAAAAATAATTTTCCAACATTTTTTTTTTAAAAGCTTTTATAAAAGAAGTTCGGTATGAACTTTCAGCGGCAGAATCATATTCATATTCCATTACCTTAAATGTTACAATTTCAATTAGTAAAAAAAAAAAAAAAATAAAGAAATTAATATATTATTATTATTACAGTTGCTTTTGTTATAATTAACAAATACATACACAATAGGAGCAAATAATCACATAATAAATTGAAGTACTATACATAGCGTTTGCGGTTAAAAATTGTAATAAGAAACTGACTAATTATGGTCTATATAAAATCTACTTAAGAACATCTTTCTTACATTTTTAATCCTTATAAATTTTCTGAAAATAAATTTAAATATACAAATTTACAGTCAAATAAAAGAGTAAGAAAGTTATTCTTTGGCAGGCCTAATGTCAAATTCAAATTGGTTTTAAAATTTCTTATCGCATCAATAGATTGATTGATATATTAAAAACATGATACATCTTAATCCCTTGTTAAATTTGTGAAGACTAAAATAGAATATTATTGCTTCCAATTAGAGTAGCCATTAAATTATTCAGTATTTTGGAAACAATCAGCAGTGTCCTTAATTGTATTTCATATGGTAGTTGATATATTACTTTGTCTTTTGTACGAATCAAATTAGACATAAGTTTTTTTATTAAGTCATTTTTCTCAGAGAAAACAATAAGATGAGCTGCGAAAGAAACAATTAATTTTTCAAATTTGTCTCCAGTAAGAATACTATTTGATGTGTTTTGTATGTTGAATACAAAAATATTTAATTGCTAAAAGTTTATCAGATTAGATTTTAAACAGTAAAATAAAATTCTTGATATTTCACCCCAGGATAATAATGGAATTAAAAAGGGAGATACAAGTAAATTCTGCCTCTACTTCTAATACCACTTAAAAAGCATCTTCTTCTAACAATAATTATAATGCTTTTTTAAAGTAAATACATTTAAATTTTCTATTAAAATAAAATTATAATTTTGTTTTTAAATAATATACTTATAACAATACCTTTTTTTCTACTTTTTTATTTGTTTCAGGATCAATTTCAGTTTTAGTTACTTCAGTCATAAAATAATCATCTAAAGATAAAATCCTTGGGGCTTGTCCTCCCATTGCAACTTCTTTTTCCTAAAAAAAATAATTAATAAAATTAAAAAATTAATCAAATTAAATTAACAGAACTAAAAGGTACACAATTATATTATACAAACTTTAATTAATTTTGCAACATAAGATTTTCCAGAGCCAGGTAAACCTCGGAGTATTATAACAATTTTGGATGGTCTATTAAGCCGACCAGGTGGGCATAATAATGTATCAATGGTTAATAACTTTCGATTAGATGGTTTTTCAACTTCATTATTTATGGACATCCTTGGCGGAGATGGTGCACACATATTATTAACTTCATTTACTGGTTTTAGAGTTTCTTCTTTCTCTTCATCATTATCAATAACTGTAGTTTCTATTGTATTAGATTTTTTTTCTTCTTTATTTTCTTTATTTTCATAGAAGTTATCATTGATAATTGCATCAAAAACATTATGACTTTTTTCTTCTGATGAGGTTTCTAAAAATTACATGATAATCATTATAAGTACTAATAATTTACATAGTGTTTTTGGTTGTTTTAATATCATTTTATGCAATATTTTATACCATTTAAGTTAAATGTTGGGATTTTGTTCAGTATTTTTCCGCTTAAGTTTGAATCATAATTTTCATTTTGAATAATCTCTAAAAAAAAAAAATACATAACAATAAAATATTTAATTGAAATAAAAGTTGAAAAAAGATATAGACGGTAAGTATTAATAATATGGTTTATTATCATTAAATGTATAAAAGCAGTGTTAAAACTCCTAAGATATTTATTGTAAAGCACAATTAAATTATGTCAGTAGTTCATAGGAAATGATAATTTTGTAAATAAAAAATTTTAAACTATAAACACAAGAAACATAAAAAAAACTAATATATACAGGTGATGAGAATGTATTTAATTTAAATATGTATCTTATATTGAAAAAATAATGTGTATATATCATTTTTTAAAGTAATTAAAATTAAAAATATTTCATTATTATTATTATTATTAGTAATTTCTATTAAGGGATGTTAACAGAGGTTCTCACTGTATAATAGTTATATAACAGTTATAACCGTTATATTATTCTTAATAATTAATTTTAATTATTCAGATGTTACGAGTCATATAGATAATAGATCAAATTGAAATTTAAAAAAAATAAATAAAAAATATTTACCATCTTTGTCATTTAAATCTCTTGTTTGATTCATATTTCTTCTACTAAAACCTTAAAATATTAATATTTTAGATTTATGTAAAATGTCAATACCAATTATTTTGTTATATTTGTATCAGATATGTATCAATTGTTTGCATTAACATTTTTTATATATGACAGTTAATATATATCAAGGGCGGCCAAACGGTCAATCGCGGAAAATTTCGAGTTGATCATGTTAGAATTTATTTTTAGGCCATGTGCACAAAAATTAATTGTGGTGATTATGAACAAATTGTCGATAAGTTTTATCTGTATAGTTTTTATCTTTTTTTTCGGGTTTATAAAAAAATTTCCAAGAAAGTCGATCTTCAAAGGTGAAGTATATTTTTAGTAGACCGTGGTCGAAAAAAGTTTGGCCGCTTCTGATACATATTATATAACATTATGTTATTTGATATGGAATTTTTTTTCATCATTTTTGAAAATAGAATATATATATATATATTAGTAGAGTTTATATAAGTCAATTTCAAAAGGAAGATTTTGATTCCTGCAAAACATCCATTAATTTAAAAATGTATGTAAGCACTTCAAAAATAACAAAATATTAATAATTTAAAAAATCTAGTAGTATGTTGTGAGTCAAGAACTATTACCAAAAAAATTTAATAAAATAATGAGAATTTATAAGTATAAATAAGTGTAGATTAAACTAAATCTTGAAACAAGTGAATTTGTTCTTAGTATAGCATAACATTTTCAATAGCAAATAAGCAAAAAATTGTCATATACAAAAAATGTTCATGTGAACGATTTTCAACAAACAATTAGCGTGATACCTTTTACACCAATTTCAATATAATTATACAAACCTCTATCTTGCCAAGGTAATATGCGTTTACCTCCATGTTTATAATCATAAACTCTGATAGGAATTACAGTTTCCTTTGACAACCCTACAAATTATTATAATAAAATTAATAAATATTTATAATTAGCATTCATTTATTATTAAATATTAGATATATTACCTGGAATAACTTTTAAAGAAGGTAAATGTCGATAGTCAAATATTTTTACTGGATCTATTGGTAGAACTTCTTCAAATGATTTTTTAATGACTTGAGGCTGATCTATGATATTTTGAATTGGCTGTTGAAGTTCTTCATTTTTGGTGTAGTTTTTATCCCATTCCATATTTGTTCTATCTGTATAATTTCCAAAATTGCCTCTAGGCAAATCATAATTTCCTCTTAAGGGGGAAGGTCCATAATTTCCTTTTTGTGATGCATAGTTATTTTTATTAAAAGTTGATTTATTAGAATAATCTTTATCAATGTCTTTTGAAAATGGTGCTTCTCTAGGAAATCCTTGGTCCATACATTTATTATTTGGAGGTTTATAATAATTATTTTCATTAATTTTTGATGTTGGCAATTCACGAGGATAACTTTGATTATTATTTCTAGAGAATTGAGAGTTATTTCTAAGATATTCACTATCTGAATTTCTCATAAATTGGGATCCTCTTGATTGATTAAAAGATCTTAAATAATCATCATTAAAGTTTCTTGCGCCTTGTTGCCCTCTAGAATATTTATTTTCATTGTAAACATTTCTATGCTGTATATTATTAGAAAACTTGTCATCATTTTGATCATCAAAATGTTCTGAACTAAATTTTTTATGTGCTTCCATATATTCATTTTCTGGATCATCTTCATCATCACCATTATTCCAGTTTCTGTCATACCTTATGAAATAGAAAATATATATTTAACAAATCTTGTTTCATATATAAAAACATTCAAATTAATACCTATTTGGTGCAACATTCTTACTCTCAGAATAACTTCCAACTTTATCTAAAATCATTTTAAATATTACATTATTTAATAATTTTTAAATAAAAATTATGCAATTTTTTAAATATTCAAAATTAATGTGTGTACTCTTAAATCCTTTTATTTATGATATTATAATGGAATGGAAAATTTTAAATAAAATAATATTTATCCATATTTTTATCCTAATGTTAGTATAATAAAATTACCTATACGACTTAAGAAATAAAATAAATAGTTGATTTAACAATAGATTAATTTAAAAAATTAGCAATAAATGAGGAATATATACTAATTGAAAGTGAACAAACATTTTCCTTGGACTATAAAATAAAAAATAAGAGAAATAAAAATGTTCAATAACATGGTTTAATTAAAAATATTACATATTGTGGACAGTCATCACACATAAAATTATATATAATTTTTAATTGTTTTAACTTAAAATACAGGGTTTAAATAAAAGCTATATACTTTAACTATGATATATTATCAAATAAAAATAATAAAGAACATATAGAACTTATAATTTGAACTAAGCATTACTAAAATATATATTTTATATTCTAACTATTCTGCCATTAGAGTGTGATCAGGTTATAATCAGAAACCCTTTTTATTAGTATTAACCCATCCCCATTTAGATATTAATGAAGAGTAACAAAGACAGAAAAAAAACAGAAAGTTTTATCAATATATTGTGGAGATTTTATCATTGCTTACCAGCAGAAAACCATAACAAATTATAAGTACAATTTATATAGCAATATATTTAAATCTATGTCTTACCAAGTGAAACAGGTTTAACCAAATTTAAACTTAACAAGGATGGTGGTTTTGAAGTAGTTGTATTCATTAAAGATGGCAATGGCTGTTGATAAGAAGTATTAGACTTTTCAGATGGTCTATTGAAATTGTTAAAATGTGAAATGTTTGAATTAGGTTGATTATAATCACGATAGTTGCTAGATGATGCATTAAAATTTCTATTAAATGGTTGAACATCTTGAGGTTTATTGAAAGATGGACTGTCATTTGATGATTTATTATAAGATCCTTCCAATGATCTTCTATAGTCCATATTAGAAGCATTTTGTGAGTTATTATATGTTGTATTGGACATATCTCCATCATATGGTAACCTAGAACTAGTTTCAGTTTGTTGACCAAATTTAGGTATTGATGTATTATCAACATCTGATGGTTTTTGATTGTAATAAATTACAGGGTTGTTATATTTAGACCAGCTGTTAGAATTTTGATACATAGAAGTAGATGGTTGATTTATGTTACCATGAGGTATATTAACTGAATGTGGATTTATTGTTGTAGGATTTGTAATACTTTTGGGAAAATTAAAAGGTTTGTCATCTGGTGTTTGAATTGGTCCATTTTGATTTTGTGGAAGAATGTTTGATACATTTAGAAATCCTCGAGTTACATTTTCATTATTGCTAACTAGATCCAATCCAGGTATTTGATTTATTGAAGTTGGTGGAACCATAGAATTATTATGCAATTGCTGAAAAGTTGAAGATGGTTCATTTGTTAATATAGGAACATTTAACATTGTTTGATTGCAAGTAGATTTTTGTTGAGATTGTAGTTTATCTTCTTCAATTTGAATTGTTTCTTTTTTTTTTTCAGCCATTTTCATTTCTCTTTTTTTCTTTAGAATTTCACACTTCTGTTTTAAATGATCACGCCAATTTAACCATTTTTTTTCATATTCTATATACTGAACTTTATCTGGATGATTCTTGTTTTGTTCTTTCCATTTAAGAAATTGTTCTTCCCATGACTTAAACTGCTCTTCGAATAATGCTTCAGTTTCATCATTTAATTCAATTTCTTTTTTATTGGCAGTATCAATTTTTAACTTTTTTTCATTATTTTGATATTCAGGCTCTAGTCCTCGTTTTATCCCTACTTCAGTTTTAGTAGTGATTTGTTGAGGTTGATTAATTAGTTGAGGAAGAGATGGTCCTACTGTTGGTTGGTTATAAGAATATTGTTGATTTTGAAATGGAATTGTAGGGTGTTGTGATGATGATAATGAGGGTTGACCTGGGGGCAATGGAGGTGCTGG